TATCTCATCCAGGTACTTATCCTCTTTTTTCCCCTAGTTCAAATCCTTGTAGCCTATTATTTTAAATGAAATTTATAAAATAAAAGATCCAGAGATCAAGCTAAAACAGTCTGAAAAACTACTTATGGAACGGGTAGACAACCGTTGGTCGATCCCATTTTTTTACCACAGGTACTCTTTCCTGTTTTGGACTAATCTAAAGGTTGGTTTAACTGTTGTAAGGTGCTATTTTGATATTAAAGATGTGCATCCCATCAAGGTTGGAATGATAATGAAATTGGAGGATTGACCTCTCAATAGTTTTGAGAGGTTATGCAATCATCCTCCAAATAGAGTAATGAGCTTCCTTTCCATGCTTGAAATGAAGCGAAAAAGAACACTATCCGATAGGCCCCTAAATCTAAACTAGGGCCAATTATTTTTAATAAAAAAAAGTTCACTATTATAATTAGATTGATAAATACCCAGAATTATAAGCTAAATAAACAATACTGTCTCATTCATATACTCATTGCGCTTCTATTCGATAACTTAGAGTTTAGTGCTGTAAAAATTATCGACTACTTTATCTTAAGATTGTCATTAATAAAATTCATTATCAATTTATTTTTTATTCACAACCTTGTGTAGATAAGATATTGTGAATGGAAAGGCTTGTACAGATGATGAAATAATATAATGTGAGTATAAGGTGTGCGCTTAGCCTATTTAAACGATAAAAATCTTAGTCATAAATTTAAAATGGTAGAAAAGAAAGATTAATTCATTAGAATATTATTTCTTAAATTTTGATAAATTTATTTGTTCTCGAAGATTTAATTTTGAATTGCTATACCATAAAAGTAGGAATTAATAAATTTCAGCTAAGATTCCCTTTATTACAATTAATATGCTTATTGAGTTATTGTTCTTGGAAAAAATATTTTTTGTCTCTCTTCTCTTTTTCTTTCTAAAATTTTAAGCTATTATTTTTGGAATGATAAAATTATGAAAAATTAATTTAAATTGAACCAGATGAAAATAAATTTAATATTCAATCTAATTTCATGAAAATTGATAATATAATTGTAAATAATAACAAAAAGAGTGAAGTGAAATATTAAAAATTTCACTAATTATTTTATGAAGAATTTAAATAAATTGAGATCTTTATAAAATATATTTTAACATAAATTTAATGAAAAGAATTTGATCAGTATAAGAATTTCTATTCATTTAATCATTGATAATCCTGTTTAAAAGTTTTAGCGTCTTTTAAATTCCTTTAACTTCCTTAGTTTTTATAGATCTCTGAAAACATCTAAGTCAAAATAAATTCAATTTTCCCCTTTATTTTGTTTATTTTATTTCTATTGTGATATAAAATAATATACTTTATATTAATTACGAACGAAAGTAAATGATTAAAAGTTAAAACAAAAGACATCAAATTAAATTTCTTTTTTAAAGAAAAATTAAGTCAAAACATGATCATTTTATTACTAAAAAAAAAAAACTTGGGAATCATACTACTTCCAGGAAATTTATGACGCTTATAGGGATTTTGAAAATACTTTGTATTTTATTGTTTAATTTTTTAGTTCATATTTCATTGAACTCCAATAAAATTTTGATTGCTGAAGATTATT